GGAAAATAAAATGGGACTAATATAAATAATTATTGATCATCCAGGTGAAAATTTTTATCAAGTATTAAGAAAAATAAGCTCAGATATCTGAAGTCTTAAAGCATGATATATAATGAATAAATATCATGCTTTAAGACGTGATAGTATCATTTATTTTTTTTTTTTTTTTTTTTTTTTTTTTTTTTTTTTTTTTTTTTTTTTTTTTTTTTTTTTTTTTTTTTTTTTTTTTTTTTTTTTTTTTTTTTTTTTTTTTTTTTTCTGATCTTTTATTTACTTTACATCAGAATAACATGAAATTAGCTTCTCTGATAAATTAGCGCGCTGTGGGTTCACTAGCTTCGAATGCAGGAGAGAGATTTCTTCGCACTCCTCATCGTGACGTCACGAGAGAGCTGGACGGCCTTGTTTCTCAAAGGTCACGGTTAAACTTCGCAGACACATTTTTTACGAAAGACAGCCAAGGTAAAGTTTACATGCTGTTGTTAACGTGTGCAGTTACTAGTGCCTTACATATAGAGATAGTATCTAATCTAAGCATTGAAAGATTTTACTAGCTTTAAACAGATTTTTAACTCGACGAAGATTGTGTACCACCGTGTACTCTGACAATGCCAAGACATCTTAAAGAGCTGACAAAGCTAAAACATATTTTCAGAACTTTGACTCATCTGTGAAATAATTATTTTCTGCTAGAGGTATATATTGAAAATTTATTATTGAGAGGGATCCATGGTGCCGAGAGTTTTAGGAGCGTATGGTACGAATCATAAAATACAGTTTACGCAAAATTAATGGTTGATCATCCCTTACTGTGAAAGAGCTTGAAACAGTGTTCATTGAAATCGAGGCAATGATTAATTGTAGACCAATTACTTACGTGTTTAGCAATCCCAATGAACCTCCTCCACTAACGCCCTTTCATTTTCTGGTTGGTAGACGATTACTATTTCTGCCTGGCAATAAAATAACGTCAAATAACTTGATTGGATCAAGAAATTCAATTATTGAACGATATAAATGCCATCAAGATATTTTAAATCATTTTTGGAAGCGTTGGAAAAACGGAGCATCTTTTAATCTGAGATATGCTAATATTTGTCTTCCAAACTCGAAAGCATCTCCGTTTAAAGCCAAATCTATTCTCTTTGTATATGACGATAAATATCCCATAAATTTCTGGACAATAGGTAGAATTTTGGAATTAATACCAGGCAGGGATGGTAAAATAAGATCTGTATAATTAAAACGCCTACTGGTACTTTAAAAAGGCTTATAATATTGTTTTATAGTATGGAAATTAACTAATGTTTGTATTTTATATTTTTGCGTTTAATTCTCCTGACTTCGCTGATAGATAGCATTTAATGTCTGTAAGATTTATATGCTTATATTTATGTATGCGTGTTTGTTATATGTAACCATTTCTCTATGATTGATTGTCGAAATATTAATTGAATATTCTAGAATATATATTATTGAAACATGAACTCTCCACCGAGTTCAGGCGGGGAAAATATTAAAATTTTGTGAATAACTGAACCACTATCACCTGATCTAGAAACTCATTTCCAAAATGGCAAAGTACTCCCGAGAGATACGTTTTTAAGGTAAAACCGGTTAGCATATATATCACATGCGAGGAGAACCGCGAAAATGCCCAAACCCCGGACCGAAAGACCAGCCGTCAGAGACTTTTACTCGGCCGCTGGTGGGGCAAAGTACAAGGGTCTTGCAAATTGAACACATAATTATCAAAGGGATCACTCCAGACTCTTAACAGTTCACTTCTTTTCTTCTTGTGGAATGGTGTTTGATACACCTGGGTGCCTAGGCTGACATTTTAACCCAAATCGAACATAGTTGAAAGTTTCGAAATATTTTAGAAAGTAATTTATTTGAGATATAGCAATCTTTTTTAATTTAAATTTTGAAGAAATTCACACACTATAAATTCAGGCCTCATAGCTGTCTAATTGAATCTATGTAATTAAGGTAATCTTAAATCATTAGGTGTCAAGTGGTGAAGTTTTCAAGTAGTCAGCTCACTTCTGTGTATAACACTATAACACAATACTGTTAAGATTGCTTCAGTATTATTTATGTAATTACTGTCATTTTTTTATTAAAATTTTGCAAAAAAAATTGTTGCTATTTAATTGAACTTGTTTCTTTCATTGCAAGTCTTTAATGGTTGAAAAAGAGATATTAAAATAAGAATAAAGAAGTAAATAGTTACTGCAAGAGAAAATAGTCCTAGTTTTACATAGGTAATGATTTATTAAATATAGCAGCAAGCATACATTAAGTATTCTGATAATAAACTGGCAGTTTTCCTATAAATGTATTAGATGCTATCGGTAAGTAATCAGTTCGGTAAATTAAAATAAAAAATTGATCTTTTCCAGTAAAAGATAACACATGAAAAACATCTCTTTTTTTTTTTTTTTTTTTTTTTTTTTTTTTTTTTTCCGAAAAAGGCCCATGTACCAAATTGAAACTTAACAGCGAGAAATTATCAGCTCATTATAACTGTGATAAAAAAAATTTTCAACATAAGCGATACATCTTTTAGGTTATTGAATGAAATAGAATGATTTATTTTGAAAACTTATTAACTACACTTAATTCGGAGGAGGGACATTGTTGTAGGTAATGAGGGTACTATATAATTTAACTATACCTAGCAACTCAACGTCTGCATACGTGTCTTTTGGAGGGAAAAAATTTGGCACATAGTAGTTTTAAAACACGAAAGATCTACAGTTCGTTTTTAGTTAAAATGTTGCATTTATTTATAGTTCAAAACTCAAGCAGGACAATAATTAAAGACATATTGAATTAGTTCGAATATATTTTTTAACTGCCTGTGTTCTTTATATTTAATCATGAACAGTAGAAAGAGAATTCACAGTAACCAAGCATTCAAAATACTTTCCACACTACGCTTTCTCCTCATCCAAGATTCTTATCAGAAGTCGAGCAAAAAGATGTTTCTACATCTTGACACTCGAAAATAAAATACGATCTGTGTGTGAATTTAAATCTGAATGCGATTTAAGCATGTTGTCACATAAAACGATAAAGATATTAAAGTCAAAATTGACATTTGATTAAAAATTAAAAATAACTCATTATGAGAGAAAAGAAAGTTTACTGACTGACGCATAAGATTCTACAATTCGCCTCAGTTTATATCAAACTGTGTTAAGATATAAGCATTTTACGAAATTAGAGAGGGGAAGAACCTAATTAAATTTAACACATATTCATTAATTGCAATATGATTATTTTTCGAAGAGGGATTGAAAAAAGATCTTCAAACTAATCATAGAAATCATTAACCATGAAAACCGTAAGTTATATTTAATAATTTGAAGAATAAAATATAATCACTAGTGAGAAGAATTAGATTTGAAGAATAAAAGATAATCATCAGTGAGCAGAAGTGTGGTTAAGATAATATTATCTCACAACTTAACAGTTTGTATATAAAGCTATAAACATAATCCATCGCATAAAACCATAAGCATTTCCTCTTCTGTCACGAAGATTAGCTTCCTGGCAAGGCATATAAATGTTTAAATTTGGAATGGCCAAAAGATAACGCCATCTAATGCTCGCGACATTTCTGGACCCGTTTTTCTCCTGCAGTTTCACCTCCTTCTTTAAACTCCGTGCCGCGAATGAAACAGGTATCGTGAGATTGATTCCTTTATTCGAATTGATTTGTAGTGCAAGAATTTGATTGACTATCGAGATCAATACCAAGATCAAACTTGTCTGGAATCGTTTTAGAGGAGGTTCATGTGTAACTTAATATTTGTTTTCCGGTTTCACTTCTTATTAGTCTATTATTACAAAACGGGAAATTCAAGTTTATTTTCCACAGTTCGATTTGATTCGTAACCATAGGAACAACAGCTACAGAAAATAGGTAGACTCACTTAATATCCCCACCCCATTCCATTTATCATGTTTCTTTTCATAAAAAACATGCGAATGATGACTGATTTGAACTACAGTCTTAAATGAGGTGGGGAAAAGCTATATTCTGATGATGGCACGAATTACGATCGAGATGGGGAGAGGTGGCTAGCAGTGACCTGGAAGGGCTATTTTAAAGTAACAGACTACAAAAAGGAAAGGAACTTTTCATATTATATTCTAGCATTTTATACTGTCCGATACTGTCCATTTTCATTTTGGTTCAGTTTTATCCTTTTTAATGGCAGCTGCAACTATGAGAATTTTAGCGTTGTTTCCCTCGCATGGAAATTGGGATAATTCTTCAGCATTAGTATTATGAGGCCAAAATGATAACTTCAGTTTTCATTATTATTAAAAACAGAGCCATTACTTCATCTGGCTTACTGAAAGTGCATCTACTGCTGATTTTTCCCTTTCAGTTTCAAACCAACCTAATTATGATTCTGTAATGTCAGACGGATATCCATTTTAAAAATATTTTATTTCTATAATTCAGAAATCTTTAGAATTTAAATTTATGATTAGCAAAGTTTATTATTTTTTTGCCAACCAACCAGAATAGTGGTTACCGACGCTGACTACCGCACGGAAGGGCCTGGGTTCCAACCCAGAAGACATGCATGTTTGTAAATGTATAGGGTCTGTACGTCATGGAGGCACTCTAAATATGCGGCGATCCGAAAGTCCTCTCGAGAGGTTATGAAAGGAGAAGAGGGATAGGAGACCCTTGGACCAGTCCCCACCCCGGGTGGTAATCTTAAAAATTGGGGATGAAACGGAGCAAAGTCGTACTGTCACCTGTATGGTGAACAAGACTCTTGCCAACAACAGGTGCAATCTTTACTTCTTGCCATGATAAATTTCGTGAGCTTTCTCTGATATCAGACAAGCGAGATTAGTCACAACAACGACAATTTTATTTTTTTTTAGCTTTAATGTTTTGTTTTTTAAGTTGCTAACGGAGTTAATACATATTAATAATTGAAGTATGGCAACAAATTTACTCACTGGGTTTGTTTGGGTAAATAAAGTTTCGGTTTGATTAGCTCGAAGTTAAACATTATGTTAACGAAAAGGTTGTAAAGCTAAATAAATCTGAAAATGTCTTCCACTTTTCTTTTTCTTATTGTTGTTTATTTGTGTATGCTCATTAATTTCAGCCAAACAGGTAACCACTACATAAAGTTCATCGTAATAATATGATGTGAATTAAAATGTTATGTAAATTATGGTATTTGTAAATATTCTTTTCATTAATGATAATCTTTTGGTTAATTTTTTTTTAAATGAACAATTAGCCTGTTTAACCGTTTTTTTTTACATCCGAAGCTTATACTTTTTCGTAGGTAATCGGATTGTTATGCTTGAACTTCTGGTGATAAAAAATAGTCAAAGAGAATTAATTGTGTAAACAATGTTTATTAAAGCAGAGATGTATTAATTTTACTTCTATATTGTTTTAAAAATATTTCTTACTCTCAAGCAAAATATTTCGCCAGTTTAATGTTTTATTAATGTCCATTAGATTGCACTTTTATGAATTTGTGGTTAATTTTCTTCTATGAACTGTTTAATTTAAAATGTGTCTGTGATTGACATTAATGCACTGAATACACTTTTATTTTAAACTTTTCTAGTTTTCTTTGTTATTACCTTTAATATTTTCATCAGGAACTTTAGTATATAAATGTGTTATTTCTGTTACTTGTAACAAAAGATGCAAGTAACATGAAGCAAGAACTGCCAAATTCTAACAAATGTTTCATTTTCAATTAATTATTAGTAAAGTTCTGTATGTCTAATGTGTGAACGAGACAGTTTTCTATAGAATATCTTACATGAAAATCTCGCAAGGCTTACAGCCCACATTTGCTTTGTCAGTTTCTAATGTTCTTAAGTCTTACACTTTTTCTAGTTATAATTAATTGTAAAAATATTTATTGCCTCATATTGTAATATTATTAATTGAACTTTTATGGAATTCTATTCTTCCTTCCACAGATGTGAATAAAATTTGGACTTTTCATGAAGGATTGTATTGCTTTGATCCTTAAAATTTTGTATTTTAAATCATGATTTATGACTGAAAAAGATGCGCAGCAAGGAAAATTTAAATTTTTGCTTTACAGCTAGATTATTGTAAATGCTTTGTAATATATTTTTTTGAATATGCTAGCTGATAAGTCAACAACACTTTAAAATTTTAAAGAAAAAAGAAAGCCTAATTTGGCAAATAGTTGAAAAGTTTCATTCATACGTATTGAGTATTATTTGCCAGTTATGCATTTTCTCTAAGATTTTAAAGAAACAGTACTTTCATATTATCCCATCCACCATGAAAGTTGATGAAAATGCGGATAAAGTTGCACCAATTGTCCTTGCTGAATTCTAAAGGAATTCATGCTCTTTATGTAATAAACAATTAGAATTTCACTTGCTTCGTATTTTTTGCCTTTTGAAAAGGCTTTCATTGATTTCTTCTATTTTGTTAGGCTCTCGCATTTTACTGGAAGTATTCTTTGGAATGCTGTGAGCAGAAAATTCATGCAGATAATTACTCCAGTCTGTTACTGTTTTGTCGGCCATATTCAGCTGCTCTAATGAAGTCCATTAATGCACTTTTATTGATGGTAGGATCCCATAACTTTAAAACGTAAGCTGCGATTTGCTTTTCTGTAGAAGGCAGCCCCCTCCCAAATTTTAATTTTTTTTCCACTCAAAATATGAGAAAGAAATGTAGCAATAGCAGTTAATTTACATCCTTCAAACTATTAACTCTGTGTATAATTGTGCTATCCTTCTTTGTCATTTATTATGCATAGTTTACATACAGTTTTTTAATTTTTATATTTAGGCTTAAAAAGAAAGACGTAAATTTTAATTCTGCTGTTATCATTGTATGCTTATTCTCCTCTCACGAGCAGTTGTAATTATATTCCTGTTTAAAGTGGTGTGAACTTTTGCCAACCAAGCTGATCCTGAATTTGCTGGTCCATCTTTTTTTATTCTAGAGCTTAAATTGCAGGCTCCAGCTCTTCTTTTATGTAACTGGACTACAATTTCAACAGAAAATCACAAATAAGATGCAGTCCAGTATTTTATTATTTACCTGTTTATCTTTAGTTTAATAATTTATTAAATTCTTATTTATCTCTTTACATTTTTATAAATTTTAGTTAGCAGTTACTAATCCTTAATTTATTTTTGTTCCTGTTTCCTGATGGTCTTCCATAGGACTCCATCATTTCTAATTTTTGTAATCAAACCCTGCTTGATTCGCACATAAATAACTACAAAATGACATGCAGGGAAATAAATTAAAATTCTATATTTTTAAGAAAAATATTTAATTCCTATATTCTAAAATTATATTATTCTGTTTATTCTCCTGTTCGCAAAGCCATCAATGTCATTGCAGTGGTCGGCTACATTGCTCTTGCTGCCGTTATGTAAACAGTATTGAAAGATTACTTAAGTACAAAATGATTTCTTAAATGCTTTTTATTTAGAAAATGCTTGTCAGAATTAATAGCACGTACCGCAATTGAGAGAAAAGTTTGCACTAGTGTTACAATATTTGGAACTTCATTCTAGAGATTTTATTTTGGAATAAACAGCTAAAAATTCAAAAGGACTTCCCATGCACATTCCTGTTCCAATTTTTCTAGCACGGGGAAGCTAGAATTAGCTGTATAATGGAGATAAAACTCTGAAATACTTCTTCCTATACAAGGAATTCCTCCTTTTGAATGTCACTGTGATCGTAATTTAGTTTATATTTGTAATTTGCATTCAAAAGTTTGAGTGGAATAAATAAGATGTAAAAAAAATATGCAGCTGTTGAAAACTTTGAATGTATTATCTAGAGTAAAAACTATTTTCTTCTCAATTTAAATTCATATGGGAGTTCACCTACCGTGAACGTTAACATGACTAAACACTTAACCCCCCTCCAAAAAAAAGTACCAAAAAGAATATTTCCCATGCTTAATTAATCTTAATATATGTTTTTTTAAATGTTAAAATTTAAAAAGAATATTTTTCAGGTTTAATTAATTTTAATATATTATTATTTTTTAAATGTTAAATTTTATTTATTTATTTTTTTTTTTTTAGAAAATTTTGAAGTTTTGTCGAGAACTGGAAGAAATCTCTTATCTCAGATTAAGAAATCAAACCATACTCATAATGAAACAGTAGGTAACTTTTTTATGAATAAAACATATTTCTACTATTTATCATATAAAATTAATTGTTTCTTTCAAAATACTATTTAATCAAATTTATATTGAAATTGCATATAATGTGTATATGACTACATTAATAGTTATATATTTATATAGAAGTTGATTTGGATATTTCATACAACTAAAGACTAAATTAAAACATTTTGTTGTGCTTAAAATTAAATAAATATTTTCCGTATGAATTTCAATATGACTGCTATCAAACTTATAATTTTTATGTAAATAACTTATTCATGTATTCTAATGGTATGTATCTTCTGTAGCAGCCTTGGCTACAGAAAATGGCATTGGCACAATTTGTTCCTTTTTCCTGACAGTCTTCCACAGTTCTCCCCTTTTTTAAAAAAACTCTGAAAGTTTAACCACTTTCTCTTTTTGGTCTAATTTCAATGCTTGCTGAGTTGTTAACTGATTTATATAAATAAAGAACAAAAACCTGACCATTCATTAAAGAGTGTTTTTTCAGATGGAGAATCTAAAAAAAAGGGGAGAGCCAGGTACCAAAAATCTTTCAGTTTATTTGGTAGTTGGTACTAGAATATTCTTTTGACTATTTTAGGTCTTAAGATTATTTGCAGTGTAATTTCCGATTTCAAAATAATATAATATTTATAATCTCTCTTTAAAATGTTCCTTTTTCTCAGTTATATATGAAAATATTACTGCCTTCGAAAACATTTTCAAATTTAGAAATCTTTAATCACTGAATATTTTTGTCTTTGTCCAATAATTGTAATGAGATATTTATTCGCTCCTAATTATAAACATTGATTGCAAATTGCACTTTTTAAAATTTTGTGTTTACTTAATAAACTCAGTTTTTAATGATGCAGTGCATTGAAGAGAATATTTACCTTTTATCATCTGTTAAATTTAAACTTCAGAACTAAGGGGCCAGAATTTTCTTGATGCTGTTGGGGAATTCTGATCAGGACTTTCCTTAGATTTTCAAAAATAACAAAAAACTTTGGAACTTACAGAATTTATGCTGCATATTTTTCTAATTTCTTTTAAGATGACATACATATGTTTATTGTTATGTGATGACAATGTAAAAACCAACCTATTTAAATCTATTCTGACATTTTACTACTATTTATTAATGTAGTTTTATACAAAGTTTTGATTAAAAGGAGTACATGCCAGTTACATATTAGTGCAACCATCTTGACACAGTTTGTCCAATTTTATGGAGGGGGAAAAACAATGACCTTTTTCCTTAAAAAAAATATTTATTGCATGCATTCGCATTATTATACAGTACAAAGTCCGTAATCCGGACCTCCATTATCCGGAATGATCTATAATCCAGACCTCAAAGCTACAAACTTTTTTTCTTTTGTATGCTTTACGTATGCACGTTTAATGTATAACAAACGGTATAAGCTATTCTAAAATTATCTTTATTGATTCTAAGGCATTTCAATTAATGTTGCAGATTGTGCTGTTCCTTAATCTTCTTATTGGATCTTTCTTATTATTTTTTGCAGACTGTTAGAGCAATTTTATAAAAATTAAGCTTGAACTTTCGATTATGTCAAAAAGAGTTTCCAATTCTGGAGCTGCCAAAGGATCTACAAAGTGAAAGCATGTTTCGATGTCCATCAAACAAAAAGTGGAATTGCTGCAAAAAAAAAAAAAAAAAAAAAATGGATAAAGGCATATCCATCTCAATTATGCGAGGAGTATGACATTAGAAAGTCAACTGTATATGACATAAGCAAAAAGAAAAAAGGAACATTTTGAATTTTTTATGGATTCCGACCCTCTACTTGCAATGAATAACAGAAAAAGGGTTCGTTATGCTAAAAGTGATGATTGAATGCGTCAGACAGCGTCACAGCGAGCGCATGCCATTGACGGATCCAATGCTAATGGCTCAAGCCAAAATATTTCATGAAGAAATGAACTTAAACACCACGTGCACATATTCGACAGGTTGGTTAACCAAATTAAAAAATCGCCATGGTATAAGACAATTAAAAATTTCAGGTGAAAAAGCTTCAGCTGATACTGAAGCTGCTGAATAATTTGCAGATGAATTCATTGAACTCATTACTAGTGAACAATTATCTCCAGAACAAATTTACAACGCTGATGAAACTGGTCTTTTCTGGCAATATGTACCGCGAAATACCTTGGCAACCTCTACAGAAAAGGCTCCAATTGGTGTCAAAGATTCAGAAGCAAGACTAACAATTTTAGCATGTGCAAATGCTGCAGGAACGCAAAAGTGCAAACTTTTCGTAATCGGGAAACATGCACGACCTCAAGTTCCCCGTTATATATCGTGCAAATAAAAGAGCATGGATGACACAAGCGATGATCAATGATTGGTTTGAAAATCATTTTATACCCGAGGCTTGGCGACATTTGAATTCGGTTGGTTTACCTGATGACTCAAAAATAGTCCTGATTGTTGACAACTTAAAGTTTTAGTGAAAGATAATCTATCCGTATTATTCTTCCCTCCAAATTGTACATCTATCATTCAGCCTATGGATATGTGAATAGTGCACACATTGAAATGCAAATATAAAGTAGCATTTTTAAAATCTATGTTAAATTTCTTGAACAATGGTAAGACTATTCAAGACTTTTTGAAACTTTTTAGCATAAAATCTGCTGTGTGGAGCATCGCAAGATCGTGGGAGGATGTATCTCCAGATATGTTAAAAAATGCTTGGCATAATTTATGGCCGGCTACAATATTTCATGGTGAGGACGATGATGATGATAGCCGCGAATTTGAAGGTTTTCGGACATCGCAAACTAAACGTGAAATTTTTCAGTTATTGGATTTTGTAAAGAAATGTGGAGAAGCGGTAATAAATGAAGATGATATAACAGAAGTTTTTCATTGCGACAACAATGCCCCAATCATCAATTAATCAATAGACAGCGAAATCTGTAATATGGTTCTAGATCCAGAAAATACCTCTTCCGATAGTGAAGAAAGTGACAGAAAGTATTAGCACAAAAAACGAAGCAAGTTAAACAACTTACATTGAAAAAAATGTTTAATAAAGTAAACAAATAAATATTAAACTTTTTTTTTTTTTTTTTTTTTTGTAAATTTTGATACTCTTTGGATCATAATTGCTCTTTATTTCATAAATTACAGTTTCATATTTTTAATTGTATTATTTCTGCATGCCATCTTACCAGATTTAAATTGATGATCTTATAATCCGGAATCACGAAGTCCCGACGAGTCCGGGTTACGGACTTTGTACTGTATACATGTTTAATGTTTAAGCTGTATATTTATTCCAAAAAGCAATCAATGAATTTTTATAAGTGGACTTTTATTTCTTTTGTTCTGGTGGATATTTTATGACGATTGCTTTTAGAAGATAAGAGAGTTGAAGAGATTCAAAGCATTGTTCCTTTGAAATTTTACAGCAAAATACTGTATTCCTGCAGAAATTTAGCCCAACTTTCATTGAAGGCAGCACGTATTTTAAAATTACATATTTTAAAATTGAGTTTAAGGCATAAAAATAATCATGACTTGTCCATAAAAACTGCTGGAATTTTAAATACCAAAATAAATAAATTATTAAATAAAACCAAAATGGTGACATTGATTGTTAAAACTGAAGAATTGTTATGTGTGTAATTGCCAGAGATTGGTGTATTCTGAAACTTGAAACTCTGGTAATTTCTGGAGATGCAGTTGTGATAATATGTAAGTACGAAGTAAATAATATGAATTTTAAATTCAGAGTTTTGTTATGCCTAAAATTATTTATGCTGAGTGGCCACCTTTATTATGATCACTCCCTTCAACATATCGTTAGACCACCTTTTGTTTTTAATATCTTCTTTGCATTGATTTTGCAAGATTTTGATAAGTTTTTTTGTGAAATCCAACACCATGCTTGATAAATAGTACTTTACAATAATATGACATTGTATGTGTGTCTGGATATCTGGTAGCTTTTTCAGTCTCATCCCACAAATGCTTTATGGGATTGAGATCCAGGGGTTGGGGGGGGCACGTAAGCAAAATAAACTCTCCTTTATATTCCTCAAACCAGTCTTGTACAATACCAGCACTGAGGCAAGATGTTATTATCTTGTTGAAAGTAACTATTCTTATAGCAATAAACCATCAACATTTAACATATTTTTTCCCTCCTTCCAGCATGCCTTCATGGTGTAATGGTAGCACACTCAACACGTATTAGAGAGGTCCCAGCAAGGGCATTGCTCATTTTTCATGTACTCCTGCTTAAATAACAAGATGACTCTACGAACATAACAGAGTATATTAGATAAGCAACAATTTTAACTATATCTTGCTCAAATGCTCATGAATAGAAATTAAAAGGCTCAAAGTATGCCAGAAAATATTCTTCAAACTATCACATAACCTTTTCCAACCTGAAAGTTATAGTGAAGCACTTGGTGTCTATGCTTTTTTATGCTGTTTCTGCCAAAATCTCATTTTGCCCATCTGCATTGTATAGCTAAAAGCTATATTCATTTGACTACATACCATATTTGATGGCATATAAGACGCACTGGCGTATAAGATGCACCCTTATTTAGAAGGCCACACACATGTAGATGTAGAAACAGTTATGTGTGTCTAGACCAGTGTTTCCCAACCTTTTTTGTGCTATGCCACACTTAATCCTCTCTAAAACTTTTAAGCTCCCCCCCCCAGCATATACATAATTTTTAATATTTAAAAATTGAAATGTTCTTGAAAGAAACTTGAATCATAGCTTTTAGGAAGAAATGACTACGAAATTTTGTGAGCAAACACAGTAAGTGAACTTTAAAAACATGGAGAACTGAAATTCAAGAAAAAAACTCATTTTAGTGAAAGTTTTTCATTTTAAGTACAGTCAAAAGTTGTTAATCTGGACTCGTCGGGACTTCGGCAATTCCGGATTATCGTTTTTTCCGGATTATAGATCATCAGTTTAAATCTGATAAGATGGCATGCAGAAATTATAAAATTAAAAATATGAAACCGTAATTTATGAAATAAAGAACAATTATGATCTAAAGGGTATCAAAATTCACAAAAAAAAAAAAGCTTAATATTATTTGTTTACTTTATTAAACATTTCTTTCAATGTAAGTTGTTTAAGTTGCTTCATTTTTTATGTGATAATACATTCTCTTTAATTCTATAAACAGACATAATTTCTTGTTCAGTTACAAAGTTCCGCTGTTCAAGTCCTATAATTGCTTGTCGAGAATACCGACTAATTTGTCAGTCGAAATTTTTTCGCTTTCAATAACCTCTGTCACTTTCTTCGCTATCGGAAGCAAATTATGATGACAAGGAATTTGATTTAAATCATATCAAAGACGGAGTACATCGAGATGAAATACTACATTTAGTAAGGAATTATAAGCCAAATAAAATAAAAACATCTGCCATGAAGATAAGGATAGTGCTGACAGATCAACTTCCAATTCATTGCGCGCCGCGGTGTTAAAGATAAACAAAGTTTATATAAACAAACTTTAAAGTTTAGATAAACAAAGGATATGCCTTTATCCATTTTTTGCAGCAATTCCACTTTTTGTTTAATGGACTTTGAAACATACTTTCGCTTTGTAGATCCTTTACATATTAGTAAATATATATCAGAAATTCTATTTGCCATAATCGAAAGTTCAAGCTTCTTTTTATAAAATTGCTCTAACAGTCTGCAAAAAATAATAAGCCAAATCCAATTCGAAAATTAAGGAACAACACAATCTGCAACATTAACTGAATAAGATAATTTTAGCTGAGCTTATACCGTCTGTTATACATTAAACGCGCATTCATAAACGTATTTTGCACACGCGCACACACGTATTCACAGCCGTAAAGGTCTTACGTGCATGCGTCAACGTGACGCATGCGCAGAAAGTTTGTAGCTTTGAGGTCCAGATTATAGATCATTCCGGATTATGGGTGTCCGAATTAACGACTTTTGACTGTATTAGTAATTTTTATTATTTAAATTTAGCGAGTTCCTTGCGCTTGATACTTGCTGCAAAGTCAGGTTCCAATCTAGATAACTTCAGTCTCAAGTCTCCTGGTTTCATTATATCCAACCGATTCTGGTTTCCTCACAAAGCTATGTCATCGCTCCTTTTATATTAAATAAAGTTTTAATTGACTCATCATTTTGCACTTTTGAAATATCAGCCAAATCCACTAGCATTGGCTGCATCATCCAAGTCGGGAAATCAATTTTTTTTAAGTTACAAAATCTTTCAAATCAGCCAATAAAATTTTCAGATCATCAACAATAACAAGTATAGCAGTATCAATAACAGGTATAGCGGTAGTCACGCCCCATTTTTGGAGCCAATGAGACTTTTCAAAATTTTTGTGGTAAATAGAATATGCCTGACATAATTCAACAAAGATAATGAAAACAAATATCTTCCTTTTGCATCGACATAAGTTTTATTTGCTCCTTGAAGTTGTTTATTTAATATATTTAATTTTTCAAAGATATCGGCTAAATAACCCACAATTGCCTTGTTATAATCCATTAACGCATTTTTCATTTCAGGTTTATCGCTTGTAAAATAACTAAGAGTATCAAATAGTTTCATAAATCTTTCCAAGCAGTTCCCTTTCGACAGCCTTCTTACTTCAGTGTAAAGTACAAGTCTCATATAGTCTTCATTTTGTTCTTCATAAAATAACGTTAAAAGACGTTCACATTTGGCCCTAGCTTTAATAGCTCTATTAGACACTTATACACTTTATAACTGAATTTAGTACTTCATTTGGAACAGGGGAATTGTTTTTAGCTAGCAGGTTTTCTCTATGAATAACACAATGCACAAGAAGCATTTCTGGATTCTCATCTTTTATCAATTTTAAGCAACCCTTTCTCTTATTCCATGCTTTATTTTATTTTTCAACCATCATATTAGGAGCACCATCTGCAGTATAAGATGTATTATATTTTTTATTGGTATATTTTTATATCTAAGTAATTAATCTAACCTTATATCTAAGTAATTAATCTAACCTTACTATAAATGTCTTTGGAGGTAGTGGTGCTTTCTAGTGATTTACAGAAGAACATTTTGTCAGCAAAATCCCCTTTATGAATATATATTACATAAGTTATAAGTACGGCTTCTCTGTCTCTCAAAGTTGGTTCATTTATTTGCACCAAAAATTTTCTTATTTTCAGCTTTTCAACAAGTTGTATTTCAATATCCTTATTTAATCTTTCTTTTGCAAACAGTATTGTTATTTAGTGGCATAGATTTAACGTCTTTGTCATCGTTTTCTAGAACAGTTTTAAATGCTGATATTGATGGTTTGATTCAATTCTCCCCTATAGTACGGCTTTTCCCAGCTTAAACGATGAGTAATGAAATTTGATAACCTCAAGAGCACAATTAACAGTTGTATTATGAGCAGTATTTAGAGACTTTAATATTACTATTTTTTCAAAAATTTTCCTTAAAGTATGAAAATAATTCAAATCGAAATTAATATCAGCATTATGTTTCGCCTTCAAATGTGTATCAAGACAACCTAGTTTCATTAATTCATTGGTCAGGCATTATTGGCATAAAAAAAAACAAAAGTTGACCGGGTATTAAACCAAATTTTAAATATGCCTCCGAATACCGAGAAACATTTTTTTTCTTGCTTGCACCCCTCATTTCACTAAGGGCTGAAAGAAATAAATATAAGATCAATACAACAAAGCTGAAAGCAGCTGCTCTTGCCATTCAAGGAAAGAATAATATACTGGTTGCCATTCCTACAGTAAAAAATAAAATAAATTTGTTGGCTGAAATGTGCGAGAAACTTCTAGAAAGCACAATGTGTCAGTTATTTAAATGCCTTTAAAAGCATTTAAATGTCCATGTCTACAGAGAGAATTCTTTATAAAATATTTAAAATTCACCGCAATTTAAAAACTTTTTCACGTATACATCACTTACATTTTTCTTTATTTTGGGGAATAAAAAATGGAATTTCGAAAAATTTTGACTTCATGAAACATATTTAGAATGTCCTTTGTCCCCTTAAACTCTGGACATGTCCATTTTCGAATTGCCCCCCTTAACGGTCACATTGCCCCTTGTGGGGCGTGGGCCCCACGTTGGGAAACACGGGTCTAGACGTTTATCTGGGCTAAAAATAGCATTCACTATTGAAAGTTAACCTATGTCCTTCACATATAAGGCGCAGATAACTTTTTTGAGACCAAATTTAGGAAAAAAAGTTCATCTTATATGCCGTCAAATACAGTAACTTATTTACAACTATTCTCTGTCCAGTCCTTGTGCTTCTGAGCAAATTTGAAATATTTTGTCATGTTAGCTGCAGACAGCTAAGGTGTTCAAACTGGCCTTTGACTTCCACACTCATATGATGCATTGTATGGAAGACAGTGCAGTTGGAGATCTTTTGAGACTATACTTGATTAAGATCTGCAGTTTTACTGCATTCTTACTATTCTATTGTCTGTTATAAATCTGGACAGCCTTTGTTCCAATGCTATCCGAGTATTCACCAGCCAATTTCGAGTTCCATCCGAGTATTCACCAGCCAATGAAAACCACAGGCTGACATTTGAAACCATTTTTTGTTCTGGGGATTTGGTCTTCAAACTTAACTATAGCTGCTGTTCAACATTTCATAAATGTGGTTGTTTTATTGATATTTACTCCATGGCCTCGAGCTCCTGCAATCATCTGAGTTCAAAGCCCATCAAATCACTTTTCTCCCTCATATGTTCACAAGCAATTCATGTATGATACTGTCTCAGGAACTAAGCTTTACTTTTTTATACTAGTCTACCTGTCTAGTTACAACAGTGTGATGACATAGTTAACTTAAAACTGTCAAGTGATCATAATAATGTGGCACTCAGTGTGTAATAAACTTTGAAAGTATAACATGACATTATATCAAATTATATTTAAATATTTTAGCTATATATATAATGCCTAATATAATTTAGTTATTTAAGTGTTTACATTTTTATTTAATTTTATTTATTTATTTCCTTTCTTGTATTTCACCAGAAAGAAACAAAGAATATTCCTAGTTCTGTCAAGGAAGAAGATTCCATGGTAATACAAGTTTCTTTAATCTTCTAATCAGCTTACAAATTTAATCATATTTTTTATAATTTTTTTTTTTTTTTTTCATTTTCAGGCTGGAACAGAAGCTGCGGTCCTCATCATCGTTGTCATAGTCGTCCTTGCTGTCATTGGTATGGTTGTTTACTTCGTACGTAAATTTGATCAACTCAACAGAACGTAAGTGTAGCATAACATTCTTATTTTCATATCTGTGTGCTATTTTTTAAAAAGCATGTGAAGGGATTTTTTATTAAATAATATGGTACTTGTCTTCTGTAACAGCTTTAATAACCTTCGCAAAGAAATGAAGGATGCCAGTATAATTCAAGCTTAAAGAAAGTGTGATTTGTTGCTGAATGTTGTAAATATCCGTGAAAACAAAATTGACTGCTGTAAATGATAAATTAGCTATTCAGTCATCTATTATATTCAGCATTATGTAACATAAGTTATTTAACCTCAAGATACAAGTTTAATGTGTTTTAGCATTGAGCTCGTATAGGAAATTTCTCATATCTATAAACAAACTCCATTTAAAATAACAGAAATCCAGTTAATCCATTCCGCACCCCAAAAAAATCTCATTGCCATCTCATCTTGAGTTGACATATCTGGTGTTTTTCGGAGAAGGTACAAGTACGGATTCTTAGCCTTAGTCTTAGTGCAAATGAGAGCTTCCGACACCAAATCGCCTTTTAACTGCTCCTTCCTAATCCACAACAGCTTCTCCGCATCTTCTAAGAGTTTTGGACAGTGCTTGTAAATAATGGGAACTCCTTTTGTCACATCAAGTTTCATAATTTCTTCCTTCTTCTCCAGAATAGTGCAGATCGTCGATGTCGAACGGCCATAAATCTTTGCCTATTATGATTTCTTTCTTAATTTCAAAGGCGGTGACTTCATTCTTTTTCTTTGCAGAACTATCTGAAGCAGCAACCTTCTTGGGAGGCATTGTGAAATAATTATTTTCGCATTAAATGTAAAAACAATTAACTCACAAATGCACAAACATGTAGATCAAAGAACACCAAGTGATCTGACGAGGGGATTCCCCGAGTGAGCCAGATCAGGAAACGTGCCATGCATACCAATAGCTTGGCTCGTTGCTCGTTACTCAAGTCAGTGCTCGTATTTAGAGATGAATGTTTTTGCTCATGCTTTCCTCGTATCTAAAATTTTTCGTATATACTATAGAGGTACTCTTATCTTGAGGTTCCACTGTACATATAGAAGGAATTTAACATAAATTTGTATTTATTATACAATACAATACAATATTTAATATAATTTTGGCAGCAATTTATTTTAAATAACATGAATCAACAGAAAGTATTTAACAGTTAGAAGACAGTAGCCAAAATATATGCCAGAGTCTTAAAAAGGCTGTGGCTGAAATTTCAGCCAGAGAAATTCCTCCACCCCTTTTGCAGAGATAGTTATTGTCTGATAACGCTACCCTGGCACTTGTCCGATGACTTTCACACCTCACAGATATTGAGTTTCATAAATTCCCTTTCCTTTTCCCTCAACAGTAAAATGTTAACTCAGGACAAAAACTTTCAGTTGTGTTTTGCATGATTCACTTGGCCTACACAATTCTACACAAGTAGCCTAACCATATTAATATACATATGTGCATGGTATGTATGTATGGAAATGAGGTGTGCAATACAAACCAAATATGTAATGTGTATATGCTAATTGTGTACATATATGCAAACAGGTATATATGTGTTATATGCACATGTGAATAAATGCATATACATGTAAATATGTCTAAGTGCCATGTATATAATTATGTATTATTAATAATTGTATATATAAAGAAACATAGTGCAGTACAAAGTCCATAATCCGGACGTCCGTTGTCTGGAGTGATCTATAATCCAGACCTCAAAGCCACAATTTTTTTTTTTTTTTTTTTTTATGCTTTATGCATGTGTGTTAATGCTTGTTTACGCAGGCACGTGTGCGTTGGGAGGATGTGTCTCCAGATACGTTAAAAAATGCTTGGCATAATTTACGGCCAGCTACTATATTTCATGATGAGGACGATGAAGATGATAGCTGCGAATTTGAAACATTGCAAACTAAAGGGGAAATTTTCCCCGTTATGGAATTTTGTAAAGAAATGTGGAGAAGCGGTAATAAATGAAGATGATATAACAGAAGTTTTTCATTGCGACAACAATGCCCCAATCATCAGTCAGTTAACGGACGGACGGCGAAAACTGTAGCATGGTTCTAGATCCAGAAAATACCGCTTCCGATAGTGAAAAAAGTGACAGAGAGGTTATTGAAAATGAAAAAATTTTGATTGACAAGTTATCGGTATTCTCGACACAGCAATTACAGGATTTGAACAGTGGAACTTTGTAACTGAACAAGAAATTATGTCTATTTATAGAATTAAAGAGAAAGTATTAGCACAAATAAATGAAGCAAGTTAAACAACTTACGTTGAAAGAAATGTTTAATAAAGTAAACAAATAAATATTGAGCTTTTTTTTTCTTGTAAATTTTAATACCTTTAAATCATAATTGCTCTTTATTTCATAAATTATGGTTTCATATTTGTAATTGTATAATTTCTGCATGCCATCTTGCCAGATTTAAATGGATGATCTATAATCCGGAAAAACCCCTAATCGGGAATCGCCGAAGTCCTGATGAGTCCGGATTATGGATTTTGTACGTAACAGGTCAAAAGTTGCTGCTTCAATTATTAATATTGTTGAGGGATTGCCCTGCTTTGATTCCAATTTAATTTTAATAATGTTTTAAGATTATATATAGAGAGATATATCTCTCTGTATATGTGTGTGCATATATATTTGTAATAATAAAATTCCATAGTCAAGAATACATTTAAAATTCTAACTGTATGTTCTTTTTATTTTTAATGGCAACGTTCTCTTATTTGAAAGTACGTGGCCCCGTAGTACTAAATCCACAGCCCCGTAGTCAAGTTGTTTTTCTCACCTTTTCTACACGTACAGTTATAGATTGTTCTGGAAATATTTAAAGCGAACTGGATTGGCCGACGTCATTTCTTGGAAGCTCCGCCTTTCCAGAGGCTATAAAAGGACTCGCCAAAGAATATCGGGGGCCGGGGGCTTTTTCTTAAATGTCACGATACAGTAAACTTCATACAAAAAGTTATTAGTAATTATTTTTATTTACTCCGGATATCTGATTTTGTAACTGCTATTTCTCCTGAATAATAATAAATGGATCTTGTTTTTTTTTTAAACTTAGCATCTGATAATTTAAGCTACGACTAAAGCTTTTACATCACATATATATATAGATGTATCTCTATATATATGTATATATGTATACACACATATATTTGAAAAATCACAGATTTAAGTTTAACCCTTAGCGCTCCGCACGTTTTTGTACCACTGCCTATCAGCAATTCCGGCACATTTTCTCTGCAGAATGCAGCATCCAGAATATCTACATAAATCTTTTTCTTGTAAATATTTTACCGAAGAAAGGGATGTGACTATTCTCCTCAACAGACCAGTAATCCTGCATATTCGCCAGGGATATCGTACCCATATTGATAATAACTCCAATAAAAGCCCAAAACTCATCCTTTTCCACCACACGCCACATTTTCCAAATAGAATTACTAGATATTTCTTTATTCTTTAAAACATTTTCTGCATAATTGTTGGTTTCTTTTATAATTTCATTTACCAGTTCGTTTGTGAAAAATAATTTATAATATTGAGTCAGCTGTACAATATTTGTAGGAATTTGTGGTCCAATGACCTTTGGCAATACACTAATATTTATTCTATTCCGAATGTGTAATTCTTCCGTGACATCGCACCATTCATCTAAGTCTTCTGGCGACTCTTCGCTTTCACTTTCATTAACTACCATTCGTCGTCTCTTTGGTAGTATAATTTTGGAACCACTACTTTAAGTTTCAGAATTATAATCAACATTGTCTTCCACAATATCTTCTAACAATGAAAAATCAAACACATCTTCACTATCACTCAACTATATATTCTCATCACAATAATTATTTTTCTCCATGTTGCTAACCATAAAATGGGCTAAATAATGTTTCAATCATAACAGTAATGAGACTGAGCATGTTTTAACTACAGATAACAATTGCCAACGGCGATGATTCCGTAACGTCTTAAGCCAAATGATGATAAAAACATTGGGCTCCACAGCGGAGCCTACGGAGTTACGGAACAAATGATGGTCGGCTTCGTAGCAGAGCCAATGGAGCGCTAAGGATATTATATTTTACTAATTTGTATTTTTTTCGCATTTGGCATAGAAGTTTTATTAAAAAATACGAAACACAATAATATTCCAGTTATTGATGATTTTATGGAAAGAGACTATAAAAGTTAGGATTAAAAAAAATTTAAATTATACCCTTAAAAAGTTAGGATCTTTCTATGTGATAGGCAGTAATTAATCTTATACAGTCAAAAGTCATTAATTCGGACACCCATAATCCGGACCTCAAAGCTACAAACTTTCTGTGCATGCGTCGCGTTGACGCATGCGCATAGGCGTTTATGTGCGTGCGTAAGACCTTTACGGCTGCTAATATGCTTGTGCGCATGCTCATAAAACGTCTACGCATTAAACAATGTATAACGGATGGTGTAAGCTAAGCTAAAATTATCTAACTCAGTTAATGTTGCAGATTGCGTTGTTCCTTAATCTTCGAATTGGATCCGGATTATTATTTTTTGCAGACTGTTAGAGCAATTTTATAAAAGTAAGCTTAAACTTTTGATTATATCAAATAGAATTTCCGATATATATTGTTAATATGTAAAGGATCTAAAGTGAAAGTATGTTTCGAAATCCGAAATCTGTTTATCAATTTCACGCTGCTCGGCGGGGGAATGCCGCGGTGCGCATTGAATTGGAAGTTGATCTGTCAGCACTATCCTTATCTTCAGGGCAGATGTTTTTATTTTATTTGGCTTATAATTCCTTACCAAATGTAGTATTTCATCTCGATGTACTCCGTCTTTGATATTAAAACAAGTTCCTCGTCATTATAATTTGCTTCCGATAGTGAAGAAAGTAACAGAGGTTATTGAAAACGAAAAAATTTCGATTGACAAATTAGTCGGTATTCTCGACACAGCAATTATAGTACTTGAACAGCGGAACTTTGTAAC